CAAGTAGCTTGAATAAAGTAAAACCATGGAATTAGCAATTACTTTAAGTGGCTTTAAAGCTTTTATAAGATACATATTAATTGCAGAAAAAAAGTAAACATATTATGAGGTATAAGCCAATTAATAATAAATTTTGTCAAACTTCCTAAAATTGATTCTCCTTGATGCAGTATTTCACACTTCTTAAATAGCAATGGAACTGCTACAAATCACAAATAAATCAGTTTTGTTACTGTTGTTACTCAAATGGATGCATTCTGAAAAATGTCAAAAGCACATATGTAGGTGATGATGGATGCAAGAATGAGGAGAGAAAGAAAGAAGCAACCATATATTAAAATATCATGTAGTACCTCATATTTATACAATTATTCTTTTTTTAATTTAGGAAAAAAATGACATTTAAGAAAAATAAATAGATGTGAGATAAAATTTTGGAGGGTATTTCTCTAGCAGTGAAAGTGTTATATTCATTTACAATCCTGAAGTTTTTCCTATAATTCATAAATTTCATTAAGAATACATGACAATTAGAATCTAATACTGAGATTGTTTCAAAGGAAGAGCTATGTGCAAAAGAATGAAAGGTATACCTAAAATTCAAGGCTGTAGACAAATTTACTCTTTGTTTTTTGAGATGAAAACTGTCATTTATTTCAATTGAATTTTGTTTCATTAAAAATCCTGTGATGACATTAAAACAGAAATGAAACAGAAACATATTTATATGACTGCCTTTGATCTCTACAGACCAAATAAACAAATATACATTTAAAACATTTCAGACCTCATTATCATCATTGTCATTTCAGTCTTCTGAAATAGTAACCATGACTATTAATAAACAATTTAGTGTGCGTGATTTATTGGACTAAACATTAATCACTGATTTCCAAATATAAGGAGCCAAACAGACACTTCACTTAATGTATTTTGGTGATTTGCTATGTGTGCTTTTTTATGCTTCATTTTACAAAACAGGTGTTCTGTTCAAATTTACTCTTTTATTTTTGTTTAATGTTAATATGACAGAGTTATAGCATTAAAAGCCTGTGAAATTGAAGAGACTTTTTGTAGTGCTTCCTTTATCTTTTCCATAATTCTGAATATCCATAATGTAAGGTTTTCTTAGTTCAGGAGACTTTTGTATGAAGAATTTTTGCCATTATTACTGAGCAGGGATATCCTATGGAATCTTTGGATGTTTCTGATCACTTTTGTTTAAACAGGCTTTCTTGTTACTTCCAGTAATTCAAATAGAAGGCAAACTGGAACAACATTCTAGATAAAATAACTTGCACATATATCAAGAGTTTCAAAATTTAAAAAAAAACCATACTCTATAATCCAAGTTATTTTTACTCTATTAAGAAAATAATCATGTACATAAGTTAATACAAAGATAACAGCTAATATTCTACATCTAACTGGAGAAAAGTAAGAAAACAAAAATAAAATTCAATACTTACATATTGGATAGACTGATTATCTTTACATGTACTATTGAGACATCTAGCAAGAAATCATCAAATTCATAGAGGAACTGTAAAATCTATAGAGTAAAACAAAAAGGAAAAAATATTAGGCATGCACATACACACTGATCCTAACAATAATAGGAATATAAGAATAGTAATAATTCTCATGTCAGGATTGCAAAGTAATGACACTATATTCATAGATTTAATTTCAACATCCTAATTTGTTCTCATTTTCTTCATGTAAATCCTATTATTTTGCTAGACAGGAGACATACTTTTTGTACTCTTCTAAAATTTCTTTAGACTCCATCCTATTTCCTAGTCCCCTTCAAGTTGGTGTCTGCATCAAGAATAGGGGAAGAGAACACTATAAATCCTTGATTACAAGTGATAACGGGGACTTGAGTTCATACAATACTCTTTGTCAACTCACTGTTCATGTCTAGGTTGATCCCTGTGGGTCCTGAAGCTAAGTAGTGACAGCTACACATTGTGACTTTATCCCTGGGTGTTGAACATGCACTGGGCTAACCACATAAAGGAGGGTGTGCCCCGTCTATTTAGAGGTCTCTTTTGGAAGCAGAACCTAAGATATTTGCCTTTGACACCCTCCTTTACAACAGTCCAGACTGAAAAAAGAATCATTCACTTTCTCTCCTGTCTGATTCTTATATTTAAATAAAATTGTACCAACAACTGTTATGAACCACTTTTTGATTCATAAAAAAAGAAACAATGGCACTGAAAAAAACCTTTTCTCTTGGCAAAGCTTTACTTTATATTAACTTCATGTCATGTCCTATTTTGAATGTCAAAGCCTAATATTAACTCTCTTTTTCTTTTATATTCTTAATAAATCAATCTCCTTCAGGCATGATAAAGCCCTATTTTGATTAGATAATGTTCCTTCCTTTTCAAAAAACAAAAAGGGAAATGATCATAAATCAGATGTGTTCTAAGCACTTTCCTTGAATTATAAAATTTAATTCTCAAAGACTCCTTTGATAGGGTTTCTATTAGAATTTTATTTTTTACCAGCTTTTCAGAAATTAAATTAATTCTGTAACATGTGAGACAGAGCTCTTAAATTACAAAACTTATCTCTATGTTGCATTCAAGTAAGAAATCATAACAATTGAATTACTTCTTCCCCAAACATAATGGAAAACAGAGAAAAAGAAAATCTTTTATTCTTCTCTATTTTATTCTTCTCTATTTTTATCTTTCTTTCCTTTTTTGGAGGGGGAGGGCCTTGCTATGTATTTCAGTCTGGCCTTGAACTCATTATGTAACACAGCGTGGCCTTGAACTCCTCGTAACCCTCTTGCCTCAGCCTCTGGAGGGCTGAGATTACAGGTGTGCACCACTTTTATTCTTTACTGATTGTTCAAATATTTACAGGATACATGATACATTTAAAAAAAAGATTCCTCTTAGTTTAAAAAGCATTCAATTTTACTATATATTATACTGCATTCTATTTTGCTTAAAAGGCTTTGTTCATGTTTGTAATCATTTTTATTATTTACTTATAAGTGAAGAATTTCTGGTTCAATATTATGATTATTGCTGAGATGTGAAACCAGATAAATTTGGATACATTCTATTTAAACTTCCCCTCTCATCAGCAGCGTGTGATCTAAAGGTTCTCTTAGTCTCATGGGAATAAAATTCCTTTCCTACATTTTAGCTAATTTTTGAGAATAATGCACTGTCCCTGAAATAAATGTTTTTCTTCATAGTTGAATATTTACCAGATATAATGTATTGCATACCAGATTTAATGCATATTAAGGACACTGACTGACCCTTTTTCTGATATCTGATAATGATCTGTCCTTTTTTTTTTTTTTTTTTTTTTTTTTTTTGGTACCGGGGATCAAACTCGGGACCTTGAGCTTGCAAGGCAGGCACCAGAACCACTGAGCTAAATCTCTGGCCCTGTCCTTTTTCTTTATGTCTTTATATTTTTAAACTATATCAACATTTCATGTATTTTTATAATCAGAAAAAGGACCTTTAGAAAGTCTTCAAGTTCTATTCTTTTAATATTTTTGAAAACCATTCCTTTCCTCTTCCTTGAATAACAAACATTAACTGGCATACTAATAGCTGCCAACCACATATTATGTCTTTGAAATTATGTTCATGCACGCTTTCATTCTACATATAAAGGAATATTAATGGGGTATGACAAAATATAATAAAGTATTCCATCAGAAAGAAAAAGTGTTTTGGATAACTAATATGTTTTTTGTCATTTGAAGTTATACTAACATAAAAATATAAGTTCAGAAGGAAATTTAAACAGTTGTTAAATTTTAACCAGTTTGATTTTTAAATTATTTTTCCTGTGCTTGATATTTCAGTAAACTGCTTAATTCATGTTAATCCTAAATTTAAGTAAATGTATAATAAATTTGCCAACTTTTGTAGGGTAAAATGTTTTGAATTTAGACAAGGATTCTTTTTCTGAAAAACTCGTCATTAATGAATTCCTATCGCATTTCCTGACTCAATTGTTACTTCAAAAATACTACTGAACTGAACTTACAAAACAATAATGTTGCTAATAAGCATTATTTACTGATCCATTACTAAATGCCTGAAAATGCCTTAAGATTTCTCTTTGTATTTAGTAATGTAATCTACATATTCAATTTTATGTGTCATGTGTGATGTGATTGAAAAGTAATATAGTAAATGTTTAAATTTTTTAAAATTACAGTAAAATGTACATTGCCAATCCTCTCAATATATTCCTCCTCCCTTTGAACACATTTATCTCATTGTCCTTGCCACATTCTGAAGCAGTTCTGGAAGTCATCTTTTGTACATGTCTGTAGTTGCACTTCATGGCTGCTTGTGTGTCTTCAATCAATTCAAAACATTTATCTTGCAGTCATTTTGACTTTGGGGAAGAGCTAGAAGTCTCACCGTGCCAGGTCTGGGGAATGAGATCAATCGGGACACACACTAATGTTCTACCAGCTTGCCTGCCTTCGGGTGGCCCTCAGCAGCAGTATTTACCATACCTTTTTCTAATCACATCTTGTAAAGATGCTCAGGAAAGAGGATTTCCAGAACTGCTTCAGAAAAAGGCAAGAACAATGTGATAAGTGTCTTCAAAATGAGGGGGCATATTTTGTGGGGGCTTGATGTCTTTAACTGTAAAAAATTATCTTTTTAAAAACACACAGCACAGTCTTTGATCACCTTTTTAATAAATATCATTTCCATTTTGGGGGTGAGATTAAAAAACATTTTAAGAAAGCAACTATTTCTGAGTAGTAAAATTAAAAACTAAGAAAGCTGAACTGTAAGTTCAGTCAGTTGGAGACTAGAAGCCTTTTTATTTTTCTTTTACTTTTTAGTTTTCCAACCCTTCATATCACTGTGTGGTGGTATAAAATCTCGCACACTTTACACAGTATTGTCTTTTCCATCCTATTTCTGTCCTCCTACCTCTTAGATGTTTCAGACAGCAGCACTGTTTTAAATCTGACAGACAGAAACTGATGCTCCAAAGCTTTCCACACTTTTTGAATTCGAATGCTGCGTGTCTATTTTCCTTTTCCATTCTCTCTCTTCTTATGTCCCAGGTCTCCAGAAATGTGCCTTCCTCTTGTCCTACTTGACTGATGGGTGGAACCAACTTTGTAAAAGCTGCTCAGGTAAGCAAGTGTAAGACTGGGAACAAGAAAGTGTTATGACAAGATTTACACCAAATTTGACAGGAAACATGGCCAAGAATACCTTAGAAGCACTCATTTGTATCTGATGGTGGGAAAAAAATGATAAGAAGGGAACAATTCAGTAATCAAAATGCTGATTTTTCCTGACTGGACAGACTAAAACAGTGCTGTGATGACACTCATCTTAGTCTCTATTTATACAGATCTATAAAATAAGTTTCTTCATTTATAGACAAATGTCTATCTCAATCAGGGATAGAGAGAGGCGAAATATTTAAATATGAAGCATAATAGCATTCCTGATTTGAACTCAAAATACAATTTAAGAAATGATAATAAAGCTTAATAACTCATGTATTTCCTGAGAGTGAGGCTCAAATTATCATTACTGAAATTGGCCTAAAGTTCTTTTTTTATCTTAGACTATTATGGGCTAAGATTCCTATGTTTTTGCTCAGTATCTTTGAGTATCTTTCAGTTTTTCAGTTACCATGGTCAAAATGCTGTTGTTTTTGTTCTGCTTTTACTTTCTTTTTATTCACTCATTTATTTTTTTGTAGTAGTGGATATTGAACTCAGGGCTTCACGCTAAGTTATATCTTCAGTCACTTCTTTTATTTACTTATTTTTGTTCTGAATCATGCTTTCACTAAGTCACTAAGTTGCCCAGGCTGAGCTCAAATTTGTAATATCCTTCTGCCTCTGCCACCAGAATGCTGGGATTACAGGCATGTCTTAAAACACCTTACTTGTTCTTCATTTTTATCATTTATAAAATGAGACTTATAAAAACAAAGCTTAGTATATATATTTGTATGGAAATTAATAGATAATAATCAAGGACCTAGAGCAACATACAACAAGAGTGTGAATATTGGATGCTATTGTTATTATTATTATTACTATTTTACTGCATTCAGTATCATATAAAGTGGCCATGCAAGAGATTATCTGTGCCCTTGGATCTATGAAACCTCAATAGGCAAGAGGAACAGGAAAGCCATGCAATGCAATGAGGACAAATTTTGTTTCCAACAGTAGTAGATGTTGACATATTAAATTTAATCATGAAGAGTTGGAAACAGGTGAAATATTCTTACAACTTTCATTCACCTCTTATTGTTTGTCATTTAATATCAAATTAGAGCAAATAAATTATCCTTTAAAAGGCATGTGGTTCAATTTTTTCCTTCAGTCACTATGATACCTAAATTACCCCACATGAATAAAAACACACATTGTTGAAAAACAAAACAAAAGACAACAATTAAAAGCAAAATAAAACAGAATTCCAAAAAAGAATTGTAACATACTAAAAATTATTTCTTGTTCACAGCCTACAGCCCATATGTTTAAGACTATTGTGTCTTGGTCTAAGGAGAGCTTCAGAACAGATGGTATGTTGGTGGTAGTCTTACTTAAGCCTGTCTTCTGTTAGGAAAAAATTCTGCCATCCATATTTCTGATTTATCTGTTGAATTTTAGCATACATCTTAAGTGGGAACTGTGATAATAAATGCAATTAAATATTTGTATATCTCTAAATTGCACTGAACATCGGTGGACAGAGTTACTGTATTAAAAAGTTATTTTCAATGATCATTTTAAAATCTAGTCTGTTTGCTCAAATGAAACCCACAGGTCTTGGGTGCTAAAAGAGGCCCTTTTCTGTCCACAAGATATACATGTTGTCTATTTAAGAAATCACTCCATCCTCTGTTTATGGCTGTATGTTTATACCAACTGCTTGAAGAATCTGCTGCTAGCAAAAGTATCAGATAGATCCAGTATAGCAGAGGGTGTCAGCCACCCAGACATGGAGACATACACCTATAATTCTATTATTTTGGGAAATGGAGACAGAAAGATCACAAGTTCAAGCCCAGCCTGGGCAATTTTAACGACTTAGTAAGACCCTGAATTCAATTCCAAGTAAAAAATATTTATTTAACATATGTATTGCAGCCAGGGATTTAGCTCATTGGCACTGAGCCTACCTCGCAAGCACAAGGTCCTGAGTTCGATCCCCGGCACCAAATAAAACAAAACAAAGCAAAACAAAAAAACATATGTATTACAGAACATAAAGTTTCTAAAGTATAACAATAGCAAATATTTTGTATTTGTAAACACAGCCTACAGAAGTGTAAAATCCTTAAATTCATTAAATATTTTGATAAAAGGAACAGTCTCTTTTTTAGATTACTGCTTTTATTAATACCTATTAGAGAATTTAGCTAATTATTAAGCATAAGGAATTTATTTTTCTATTATATTCTGAACTAAGTAGAATTGAAAATACAAATACCATTTAGAAATTGGTTTAAATTCATTTATTAGTCCTATATAATTGAATAAATGTATGATTCCTATTTTTTTAGTATAGAGTAATATTATCAAGAAGAATACTATCATAAGTAAATGGAATTATTTCATGAAATTTCTGGCATATCATCAATATAAGTAAAACATTACTCATTCCATTACCAATTTTTCCTTTACATAGTTCCTGGTACATTCCTCCTTAATACTTACATTTGTTTATTTTTCTGTTTTCCAAAAACAATATTACATATGGAGGCAAAAAATAATATGGCATCTGCAGAATATTACCCATGAATGTTCCCAGTAATACATTAGAGCTATTCTAAATTTTATTTTATTTTTTATTACATAACTCTAAATTTTAAATTTTATTACAGTGTAAAAGTAAAATAAAAATAATTTTAGTCATATGGAAATTAAATTTCAGTGTTTTATTTATTTGTGTTAATTTATGCAAGATTTTGCAATCATTGTTTGGAAAGAGTAGAAAATAAATATTTTAGTTTTAGTGGCCCATATATAACGCTATCATAATCATTTAATTCTGCCATTGCAGCATGGAAGCAACTACAGAGAATAGTATGGCCAGATACTTGGCAGTCTGAGACAGAATGAAGGCAACTTTAAGACTAGCTTTGGCAAGCTTGGAAACAGCCCAAGTGCCCATCAAATGGAAACTGGATAAAGAAGATTTTTTTTTTTTTTATAAAATGGAGTACTACTTAGCCATAAAGAACGAGAAACTAGAGACATTTATAGCTAAATTGATGCATATTGAGGCCATACTCTTAAGTGAAATAAATAGGACACACATGTGTAAATACAGAATAGTTTCTCTAGTGTGAGAAACTGAAAGTGTAAATATGGATTAAAATGATTAATATGAATATTTGATAATTTGAAATAGAAAGAAAAGTTCCAAAGGGTTAGGGGTGGTGGGAGGGGAAGGGCAAAGGAAAGAAGGGAAAGGAAAAATTATGAGAAAAGAAAAAAAATGGAAATGAAGTCTACATAAATAGGGAAGGGTGGAGCGGGTGAAGGGTGCACAGGTAATGGGGAAAAAATATCACCAAGATACATCATGTACAGGTACAAGGACCCAATGATAAATGTAAACATATTGTATACCTAAAATGTACCAATAAAAGAATTTAAGGAAAAAAAAAAAAAAAACTAGCTTTGGCAACTTAATGAGTCCTGTCTCAAAATAGAACAAGACGAGTAAAACCCTAGGGATTTAGATCAGTGGTAGAGGGCTTGCCTATTTATACATGAGGACCTGGATTCAATAAAAAGCATCTCAAAAAAAAGAAGAAGAAAAACAAAAAAAGTTGAATATGTACCTCAGTACTGAAACATCCTCTTAACATACACAAGGCTCTGGGTGCCACCTCAAAAAAACAAAAGAGGTAATAATTTGATACAGCTGTGTTTCAAACAATTTGAAATATTAAAATCCCACTACAGCTTTTTGAAAAACAAAAATAAAAATTTTAAAGTGAATAACATAAATGTTAGTTATGAAAAGCCACAGAAACTACGTTTATTTCAAATAGCATAACCAATTTGGAAGACAGTTTGTCAGATTTTTACAAAACAAAAAGTACATTTACCATATGGCCAAGAAATCACGTTCTTAGGTATTTACCTAACTTATATGAATCTCATCACCATCTGTGACAGAATGCTTATAACAGCTTTACTCATAATTGTCAAAAATGAGAAGCAATCAATATTTGATTCAAGGTGAATGGATGAACAGCCTATGATACATCCATATAATGTAATATTATCCAGAATTAAGAGAAATGAGCCATCCAGCCATGAGAAAACATGATGAATTGTAAGTTCACATTACTAAATTTAAAAAGCCAGTATGAAAAAGCTACCCAGAGTGTATCACTCCTATTTATTATATTTGGTGAAAGGTAAATCTATAGTGGCAATAAAAATGAACAGAGAGAAGTTGATTAGATATAGCATTTATTTTTTAGAACACATTGAAACTACAGTAATATCTCAGTTCATTGCTGGTTCTGTTTGGAAACAATTCAGTTTTTTAACAGAAGTGTTCATCAAAATTGTTCTTCTGTTCTAGAACTTTACATCCAGTGGTGAGCATGACCACGGCCATCTTACCCACAGCAACACGAACCTGGCCATCTTCTCCAGAACAAATTACACTCATAAACTGTGGTATCATTGTATTCTGTATGATATTATACAGTAGATACATGACACTATACCTATTGCAAAACACAGAGAATTTTATAGCAGAAATGGTAGGCTTTAATTTGTCCAATTAATAATCATTTCAGAGATACTGTAATGGAATTTGGATTGTTGTTAAATATTTTAACTATAATTTTATAAAGCATCCCTCTTTAAAAGAATGTGGGAATAAAGTACTAACCTAAGTAATTCTTAAAATTAGTGATGTCTGTTCACATAACCAGAAGAAACTGTACTGCAGTTGACACTTCTGTTTGCCATAGGGAGTAGAGTTGAACAATTCTGAAGACTCCATGCGCTTATGATGGAGCTGAGTATTAAGTAATTGGATGGTTCATGGTGGTTCATGGTGGGTAGGTTTTCACAATTGCAAATGTGAGATTATAGGTAATTAAATGAAAAGTGCTAGAATTTTCTATGTGGTAACCAGTTCAAGTTAGAGAGGTCATTATGATGTCATAGTTACCTCAATGCAGATAGATATGATGACCTATAGATGAGGTTCCATACTTGTGAATATAATAAGCTTAGTTTTGATATATTTCCTTGTTTGTCTGCTAAGAAGACCTAGAAACATTAATGTTCTATTAGCAGCCAGCACAGACAATGTGCAGAACTTAGTTTCTAATATTATTCTCCAAAAAATGAACCCAGGATAATTTTTAAGAAATGGCGAGTAAGACCTGGTGCAAAAAGCATGCAAGATGAGCCAGAGACATCATATCCATTCAGAAAGTAAGAAAATACCAAAAAAAAAGAAAAAAAGCAACAAAAACAAGAGTTTATGTCACAGACACATAGAAGTCAACAAAAAGCCCTCGTAATGGACAAGGCTGAATGATTCAGTAGCAAATTAAATTGAGTAATAGTAGATTATAACCAAAAATATAAAATAAAAATCCCTGAATCCATAGTGATAAAAGCAAATAGTGCAGAATAAACAAATTTCCAATGCCAAAAAATTTCAAATAAATTACATAGATGCTTTGCCTTCAAAGAGGTGAAACATACATTTCCACTCATGTATAAGCTGAGCACGGTGACTTTATTCTAAGGAGGACAATATGCAAAATGGTAATAGAGGAGAACAACTTTATAGTGGAGAAATGACAAACACTAATTCAAGGAAAGAGATGTAGAGTAATATTGACAATCATATGACGTCTTAGTTACTTTTCTAGCTGTTGAGACAAAATACCCAAAACCCAAAGTTAAAAGTGTAAAGGTTGATATCAGCTCATTCTTTGTAGAGGATTCAGTCCTTACTTGGCTGGCTCCAAATCAGGGCAGCATTGCAGAGGGGCATTGAAGAAGAGAAACTGTCCAGAGCAAAGTAGACAGGAGGCAGCAAAGCAGCAAGTAGCAGCAGCAAGCCTGCCTTCCTTCTCTCTCTTTATATTGCATTCAGGCTATAAGCCTATTTATTTCTCCCACACACAGGCTGGGGCTTTCATTATCTATACTCTGAGCTATCATAATTCCAATCAATGGATTAATTTAGTATCTCAAACCCATATCCCAGTAGCACATGATGTAGATCCAGCCATCTCCAAAAAGCCTCATCTATAAGCACTTGAGGCTTGAGGGGACAGTTAGACACCACCCGTAACATTCTGCCCCATCCCTCCTCAAAGACTCATGCATATCTTGTTATGTGAAGGACATTTAGTTCATCTGTAAGAGTTAGCAAAGTCTTAAGAGTTTCAGCATTGCTGAAAAGTCCAAGCCCAAAATGTCCTCTGAGATTTGAGCCAATCTCTTAGCTGTAAGTCCCTGTACAAACGAGAAGAAAGTTAAACATTTCCAAGGTACAGTGGCACAAGAAAAGTACTCTCACTCCAAAAGGTACAAACAGGGGATAGGAAGGAATGGGACCCAAGCCAGACCAAAATCCCGGAGGGCAAGCATTAAGTCCTGTAGTTCCATGTCCAGCACCTTGAGTAATCTGTGGCAGGATGTGAAGTGCAAAGTGCATGGGTGGCTCCATCCTTATGGTGCTACAGGTGATTCCAGCTCTCACCACTTCTCTCTTGCACTGTCTTTCCTCTTTCCTTGCAGCTTTCCTCAGATGATCCACATTCCTGGCTTTTCCGACGTTCTGGGTCTTCAGTGTGCTTTCAGCTTCACACCCAGAGCTGCGTGCACTGTCTTCTCAGGTGCACACTGCCTGGCCTCCCCGGCTTTCTTCTGTGGGTGCAAGCCTTCCTGAACCCACAGCTCTTAAAATCTGCAATTTACATTTTTTGATTCAAATTTTTAGTAAGAAATTATGCCAGTAGAAGCTTTTCAAAGACAATGATATATCAATAAATAAAAGTTAAAGTGAGTTCCTGAGAATCTCCCACATAAAATAGCAATATGCATTACTATAAAGTAGTGAAAATACTGTGTCACAATACAAGCACAGCATACTTTAGAATATGCCATTCAAATGTAAACCATTACACAACATTTTTATACATTGATAAACTTACAAGTGTTATAATGAATATATTATGCTAAGAAATTCAGGAACATATGGGGAATAATATAATGAAAAATAGAATGCATCAGATCTATTTAAAAGCAAAAAGAATTGAATATTTACTCAAATATAAATCACTTTAAATAGAAATCATTAATTTAAAAAATAAGGAATATTTTGTGTGTTTATCTATATAGTCATATATACACCAATATTCTAGGAAAATATGTATGGCTTGTTTTTATTCCAATGTCACTT